TATTGTATAAAGGTATTGTATAAAGGTATTGTCTAAAGGTATTGTATCAGTTATTATCTAAATGTATTGCGTATTGTAGGGAGACTCTGTGTACATGTAGGGAGAGGCTGATGAGGGAAGGAGATGAGGTGAGTAGATGAGGTGAGGTGATGGCAGAGGAAGGAAGACACCTGGTGGATGGATGTAAAATGACAATGAGAGATAGTGATGGTGGCTTTAGAGGAGACTATGACAGTAATAATGCAGCACTGTTAAGCTCTAGAGGTGCAAGTTCCCTAACAATTATGAAGGAACTGATTAATTCAAACTTGTTAATCACTTCTTGATTTTGCCCAGCTGGGTAACAGCCTCGGTCCACAGAGCCTAAGTGTTTGTGCCCAACCAATGAAGGACTGTTACAGATGTATGACTGTTGTCATCAGTTAAACCACAAAGTCTTGTTTTAATGTAACAAGTTATCTATAACACATTGCATTGAATAACATGACCTTCAACCTCTCTACATGAACATTTTTGACTTTTTTTTTTGATCCCTGGGACGTCGTTGAAAACACAACAACACAGAAAGGACGTCAAACATTCTGCTGATGTTAGAGTGGATGTATGAATATCTTGATGTGTGTCGTGGGACAGCATGAGTCTCACCCCTTCTGCCTGGCCTCCTTCTGCTTGAATGTGGGGGGAGCGGCCTTGGAGACTTCAGCTGATGCTGCGTTCATCTTCAAGACTTTTGATCAAAAACAAAGACAAATGTTTGTTGTTTTACTTAACACTGGAGGAAATGGACGTGTGCTGCTGACGTGCACGTCCTCCTGAGCGCTTCATCCTCTCATGTTTTCCAACTTCTGTCTTTATGTAATTCTCTTCGTCTCGATCTAAGTGCTCTTCGTCATGAATATTTTACCGTGTTAATCCTATTAGAGTCAGAGTTCAGCTGCTACAGGATCACAACATGTTGGTGAGTCAGGGATCAGCCTGAGGATCAACATCTGCCACCAAACAAGATCTCATTGATCCATCTTGAGTTCGGATTATAATTTATTTTTCAAAGGATAATATTACATAATCATACAATAAATTCAGCAGCTGGACATCCTTAACCCTGGTCACCTCGAGTGGATCATCACAAGTGAGCGAATGTTCAAAGATACACAAAGCAACTAATTCAATAATTAAAATGTCAGAAATAACTAAATATAAATAAATTAGATTTTATTATATTTTTGTACTCATCTTCTGTTTTTGACTTCAGATTATTAATTTTTTTTGTACATACAGGGAAGCTCATATTGCGCTTAAGTTAAAGACGACCAACCAGATTTATTCTCATGTGTATTGAATTTATGATTATTATTTTGAATATTATTTCTGCAGGATATTCCCATTGACATTTAAAATGTCTTTACTGAGGTTGTCCTGCCTGATTCACACGTTTACAGAAAAACGTCTCTTTGCAGAAGAAGCCAAAAAACAGCTGCAAGACAAAGATGGAGTCTTCTTTCTTCTTGCAGTCTGTCTATTCTGTCTCATCCCTGAGCCATCACTGTGCTCTTATAGCCTTGACTCTGCCCCCCCCCCCCCCCCCCCCCCCCCTTTCTGCCTGTAATAATAAACCAAAAGGCCTGAGGGGTATTTTGAGTGTGGACTTATAGCTAAGCCTGATATGTCAAAGATAATCAGGGATATTAAAAGGTTGAACATCTAAAAAAACAAAACGTTTTTTAAATTAAAAATATTGAGATCCAAGTGTCCAGCTGTCTTTCTTCTCTTTTAAATCGATATCCAAAATATAATTTAGTGATGTCACTGCTCACGTTGAAAACAGAAAAGATGGTCAAATGAAAAACGGTCTCAGCAGTTTTGCTCACTTTCAACTGATTATCAAATCTCTCATAATAAATAAATGGCACTCAACTAATCATTGTGCTGATTGATTGGCTGCAGTGTGGCTGAGGGTCGTACAGGAGCAGCTTGGTGAGAAAATAAAGGATTACAGGTAATAATCTCACACACTGTAAAGTCAGGGGGTCATTAGATCTTAACAAGCAACATGTAGAAGTGTGTGAGCTGTGCTCGGCTTTACAGGATCCCTTTAACAGCATCAGACAGACAGCATCACTCAACCTTTCAAACACCCATGAGAACACAGAGCTATATATATATATATATATATACATGTATATACTGTATATATATATATATATATATATATATATATATATGTAAACAAAATGAAAATGACTCCAGATGAAAAATACTCCGGGACAATTAGGAGATTAAATGATACTAAATAACATCCATCATCCTAAAATCAGTCATTGTGTACATAGAGGAACACATATTTGTCCTTAAAATGTCTGCAGCCTGTAAAGAATATCTGTAATGCACATGTTTTAAAATGTGTTTAATCTAATAACTCTACAATGGAAAAATAAACCCATTCGGCAAAAAGAAATGTCATTGTCATGGTTTCTGCAAACCAAGGGATACGATGAATGTCGACGTCTCTAAAACAATAATAGTTTCATATCAGCCTCGTAGGATGCTTCCCTCGTTGTTAACATTGTGAAATAAGTGGTTATGTTTAGGAAACCACTTGTAAGGTCAGAAAAAGATCATGTTTGTGTTAAGATAATAACAACTTAAGGAAACAACGTAAGGAGGTAACGTAACGTAAACAACGTAACGCAAGCAACGTAACGCAAGCAACGTAACGCAAGCAACGTAACGCAAGCAACGTAACGTAAACAACGTAACGCAAACAACGTAACGCAAACAACGTAACGCAAACAACGTAACGCAAACAACGTAACGCAAACAACGTAACGCAAACAACGTAACGCAAGCAACGTAACGTAAACAACGTAACGTAAACAACGTAAACACAATTCTTCCCATATTAGTTAATTTTTTTTAAATATATTTTTAAGTAATGGGTACTCATTGTATTATTACAGTGTAAACAATGTGACGTTAAAAGAGAACTTATACTTTAACTATTTTTTAACAACCAGGTACATTAATATATTTTATTTACTTACATAATGTGTCGACATTTAAAAACTGACTAACAGTCTCCACTGACCTGAGCAGGCTGATCCATAATGCTGTCTGAAAATACAGCCACACAGGAGTGTCAGAATGAGTGAACAGTCCGTTTTGTTTTTCCAGCTATAATGGCCCACATATCCTCTAAAATGGGTATAAACCCAGTTCTTATTCAAATAAAAGCAGTATATGTTAACTATTTCAATAAAGCAGTTCCTTCTAGATCAAATAAGGGGAAAATAAAGATGGATTTGTCTGGTCCATATTCTCAACACAAGAGACTCAGTTGACTAAAAATAATATGTTTCACTGTCCATGAAATGTGATAATACACAAAAAGGGAGAATGATAATCAGAATGGAGAGACAGACCAGAATAATGTGACTAAAATACACTTTATTATAGGATATAAAGCGTTAACAACAGTATACAGGATGGATAGATGGATAGATAGATAGAAATAGAGAGAGAGAGAGAGAGAGAGAGAGATAGAGATAGAGAGATAGATAGATTACATGGACTTTAGGAAAGATTTATTGATCCCAGGTTGTTCACTCGTCATCCCTTTGACTAAACCCAAGCAGCGGTACTGTGTGTTACACCTTTACACATGCTCTGGGCTGCACGGGACAACAAGGCCACAACAGAGACATCCTGAAAGATATACACAAAGAGAGACCGAGAGAGAGCTCGGAGAGATGCTAAAACCTCCGGGTGGCGAGGTGTATCATGCCAAGGACAGAAGAAGACTCATTCTTGGGGGCTGCTGTCCAAGAGCTTCTTCCTCCACTTATCGAGGGGGAGAGAAAAGAATTCCCTCTCCATCCGTCAGTCGTCCTAAAATGGTTTCGATTCCGGTTCGTCTCCACGCCCAGCGAGAGGGGGGTCTCATGAGGAGCGCTCTCAAATGAAAGAAGAGCTGCTGGATTGCAGCCACCAGGAATAAACCGTTTCCATTTGTTCTTCAGACGATGCCAAAGTGGGCCAGATCATTCAGCTCCATGTCACCAAACGCCTGCCAGGGGCACACAACCTCCGCATCTGCAGGAGAGGAACAAAGGTCAATGGATCTTTCCTTTATCGACTACTTTAGACTGGCTTGTTGCTCGTCAGTCATTGCTTTGATTGATAGTTACCTCCAAGGCCATACATCCCTGGGACATCATCGAATCTAAGAACAGGACAGAGACTCCATTATCCTCCAGTTGTGATTAACCCTTTGCAGTGGTGTTGTGTCTTTTCTTTTCTGGACTCACCCCTTCTGTCCCGCTTTGGGAGCCTTGCTCTTGAACTGCCTGGTCTCCTTTTGCTTGAACTTGGGGGGAGCGGCCTTGGAGCCTCCGGGTGCTGCTGCTGCATTCATGTCTATTAAAAAACAGCAAAGATTCAGAAGAAAAAGCAGATAAAGAAACAGAACAAATACTGAGATAATGATGCAGGGTGTCAGTTTTCATAAATGGTCTCCACACATCGAGCACTTTATAATTTCAGGCTCAACAATTTGATTTTGTGTCTAATTCCACAGCAATGCATTTAAGAGAAGATGGCCTTATTGCTCTCTTGACATGTGTTGAACTTAACTTACAGAAACTAAATGCGTGATGGTGTGTCAGCTGAGAGCCTCACCTGCGTGTTGGTTTTCTGGGGGTTTGGATCGGTGAAGAGAAGCTGTCTGGAAGTGCTGAGCAGCGAAAGAACTGCAAAACAAAGAGAAGGTTCTCTTTCTTTCTGCAGTCTCTCTGTGTTCTCCTCCTCTGTGTCGGTGTTTATATACCAGCTGTGTTCACAAAGCTGTTAATAGAGATGAGAGCATAATCTAATAATGAGCACGAGAACAGCCCGTACCTGTGGTGTTTGACAGACATGAAGCATTATGGGTCATCGTGAGCTCAGTGCTCATCTCTGAAGTCAAGCTCATTAATGCAGCTTTAAGTAGAGGAAATAAAGAGGGATACACAAACAAGGAGAACGTGTGCAGGAGACATTGGGTGGATAAGTGTGCGCTAACAGATACAATGGTGAATAATAGAGCAGAAGAGACATGAAGAGAGTTGAACAACGTCCTACTTTAAAGTCTTATAGTTCCTTAAGATTGTAAATTAGTTTTTGTTTTTGAGAATGATTAAATTAGGAGAACCACCATTTATAAAACTTCAGCCAGCTGACCTTCTGTACTTTCTGAATGTTTTGTAGTAGCAGAGATTAGATCAGATTTGATTGGATTAGATCGGATAACAGGTTAGATCTCAAGCAATAAGATCAGCCGACTGTCATTAATGGATTACTGGACAGGCCTACCGGGCACAAGCCCAGGGGCTCTGGCCTTCAACGAAACATAGAGAGACACGTAGCAACCAGGAAGAGACTCACAAATGATCACAAAGAGACACAAACCAACTACAAAGAGACACAAACCACAGAAAGAAGCACAACAGTGACAAACAGACACAAAATGACCTCAAGGAAACAAATCAAATTCAAAGAGATGCAAAACCACAGAGAGATGTATGACGACTACAAAGAGTCAAAACAACAACTAAAGAGGCTTTTACTCTACGGTCTGTGTGTCTTGCTCCTATGTCGGGGAGGTGTGGGGCCTTTCGCTTGTGTCCATTGTCTCATAATCCGTCTTTACCTGATGCAGATCAGGGCTCACATGCGACAGACTACAGATAGTCTTTAAAGTTTTACATTCAGATGTATTGTCCCAGACGGAGGTTTGTTTTCACAGACATTACAACAAAAGAAACATACAGACAATACATAAAGTCTTCATGCACACACTCAGTATCTCAGCTCACAGCAGAGTCAGCGAGGTGAAGTTTGCTTCAGGGACAGAACTCCTGCTGAGGCGAGCTCTCCTCCGTTCTAAAGTCCCGTATCGCCGACCAGAAGGTAGCGACGTGAAGTGTTGATCGAGGATCTGTCGCTCATGTCGGAGAGATTGGCGAGAAGGTTTTGGAGGCAGTACGTGTGATGCTGGTGAGTTTATTCAGGTTGGAGATGGTTGACATGCTGACCTTCTGTTTCAGGTCAGTGAAGGCGCCACACTGAGAGGACAACATGACTGACAGCAGTATGTGTGGAGCGAGGTGGTAAGCGTTTGGATTGGATTACTTGACGACCTGAATTATGAGGAGGTGATGTAATCTGCAACCCACGGATACGTCGCTTTGTTAGTCAACGACTACGGATACAGAAAGGACTCCACAAGGTACAGAATGTCAGACATTCCTCAGGTGCAGCTGCTCATTTGTGAGAATTTCAAGCCTTTCTGAGTCTTATTTGATATTAAATTCAATATTTTGGGGTTTTGGATTGATCCTTGGGATAAACGATTTGAAGACGTCAACCTTTAGGAAATTGATATTTTTACTATTTTTTGACACTTTTAACAATTAAAGCTGGTGTGGGAGATTTATTTGTTAAAATTCTTTCTAATCGCAACAGCAATCGATAAATCGAATGCTCTGAACGCGGCCTGCCTGTGAGTGCACTCATTCATGTTGTCATAATGTAAAACTGAATCAATTCGTCAATGACAGGAAAGTAACTTGAGATGTTAAAATGCCAATTATTGTGAGGATTATCGATTGTTTTCGGTCGGATTAAACCAGATAATTGAAAACATCAGCTGGGAGCTGTGAGTAAAGCGTGTGATGAGCTTCTGAAGGTCTCGTCCAGATGAAGTGGTCTGCATGTGTGAGCACTAAAACGCTGCTCAGGCTTTGGAGGGATGTGTGCAGTAAATGTTGGATCTCATCATGGACCAAGCTGTGGCGCCCTCTGGTGGAGCAAAGACAAACTGCCTCATGAGAGCTTGAATTGATCCGTGAAACAACAAACAGATGAGCAACGAGTTTAGAAAAAGACTTTATGTGACAAGTTCAGGTAGGAAATATAAACAAGCAAAAACATACAAGTGTTCATTTTCAGTGGCATTGAAATTCATTTGAATCTATTTCAAAGACATTGTTATTTTATTTTTACAAAGAAACTGGCAATGATTGGCTTATCGGACACACACACACACACACACACTCACACACACACACACACACGTTTACTTTCAGTTCATGACGATTGTTTCCTTCATAAATTCTTTAACGTTACTTCATCTGATCTGAAAAGATAAAATCCTAAAACTGGAGGAACAAGTCTTCTCTTCTTCATTGTCCTTCCTCTTGAACCGGAGTACTTTAACACCGTGGTATCAGTAAACTTCTTCTGCGGCTAATTATAGTCACTTCAAACCATCTGATGACGTACAGCCCCGTGGCTGCTGCTACTCCATGATACCAGCATTGCTGAGGTAGACGTCAGTGACGGGCAGGTTTATCTGGTCCGGACCGCCGGTCTGCAGGATGAACTGCTGCAGCTTACACTGTCTCAGCTCTTTATTCAGCTCCTCAATCATCTCCTGTCTGCCCTGGATGAAGAAGGGAACACATATATTACCAACAGCACAGACTTCAGGTACATATCAACATATTAACCCTCCCAACATCTATTCATGTCCTCAGTACCAGCCGTCACTGAAGGATTAATAGTCAACGAATCACATGAAAGGACCAAAACCAACAGTGAATGGATCCTGATCACACAGACGATCTGCTGTATCTGATGCCTCTGAGAGACGACATGTCAACTGATAGATATGAAACTTCACCCGTTGAGTACTGACGTTAAGATGATTTTCATTTTGGCTTACAGCTTTTCTGAAATGTTTTGTTTGAATATGTAAATGAGGTAATATCCTGTTAAATATGTATTCATTGTCATACATTTCTAGAACATAAATCTGAACATTGGATGAAGCCATAACAAGTCAGGTTCAAATTCTTGTTTCATTTTGTTGACATATTAGAGAGAATTTTGGTGAATTTATGAGAAAAAAGTGTTAAAATAAATGTTTCCTTTCCTCTAGTCTGAAAAAAGACGAGTTATGAAATAAAAACAAACCAAAATCTCTGAATTGAACAGCGCATAAAAAACATTGTATTTAAAAACTCATCAGTGAGCTTCACTGTTGTTGCTTCATCACCATAAACACACAATGTAGTTTATTTTGACTCAATCACAAATACTCTCTAGAGCACCAAATGTGGATTCATCCGCCGCTGAAAATAGTCCCCAACAAATGCACTATTTCCTCTTTAAACACGACAGTTACCAGCTGTTTTAAAAATGACTGACAAAAAAATAAAACAAAACTATATATTTGTGACCTAGTTTAAAGACTTAAATCTTCAGTGGGAACCAATGCGACACATTTATTTGTGTCCTTGGGCTGTTGAATTAAAGTGTTCTTGGTGACAGATCACTGGATGATGGAGGAGTCATACCTGCAGCTTTTCCTCCTTTGTCTGTAGATCCCTCTGTGTCCCCGACAACGCTGCCTCCAGATCTTCTCCCTGCTGCCGGCGGTAGTGGAGCTCCTGCTTCAGAGGCCTCAGCGCCTCCTCCGGCTGCCGAGTGTCCGCCCGAGAGCTCTGTCTGTGGGCTCCGAGCTGCACGTCCCGCTCTAGCTGTGCAGAACGAGCTTGGAGCTCCTCGATCTGATGACCGTGGTCGTCCATGGATGAGTGTAGCTGCTGCAGACGTCCGTGCATATCTGTGGATAACAGTGGTTACATGTCTAGTTGTAGAAAAGCCAGAGGAAGAACTTGAACACAATTTGAACACGTTTACCTTCTTCTCTGTCCATCTCTGCCTGTAACTCTTCCTCCCACTTGTTCCTGATCATCAGATCTGCCTCGGTCTGCCTCAGACGCTGCTCCAGTTCCTCCAGTTCCCCTTCGGCGACAGGACTCAGACCAGGAACTTCGGCAGATGACCTCTCCCGCTCCCACACCTCGGCCTCTCTCTCCAGAGATTGAAGCTGAATCCCCAGGTCCTGTAGCCTCCTCTGCTGCTGCAGGATCTGCCTGAACACCTCCTCCTTGGGGGAGTTGTGAGGGTCTAGGAAAGAGACGGGGGAAGCTCGGGGTTCTGGAGAGGCTCGGGGCGATGGAGACCGGACCCTGTTTGGTTCAGTCCTCTTCGGGTGTGTTGAGGAACCCAGACTGTGCGGCTCTGGTTCTTGGTGGTCTTGACCATCGCTGCGGCTGGGACCGGTCCTCCGCAGGACGAACTGGACCTCCGCGGCCAGCCGTCCCAGCTGAGACAGATGCTGGAGAGGACAGTCGTCAGCAACTAGCTGTCTCTCCTTCCCTCGTAGCTTCACGATAAGAATGTAACGACCTGTCTGACCTGTGGAGAACGCAGATAATAATATTGAACAACCGACAAGCAGCTGAATGAAGAGGGCTGAGTTTAGCTCATGTAAGCCAGAGTATTTGTGTTTTCTAGTACAAAGAGTATTGTAGGAAGAGTCAACTGAATATTATAAATATGTTGCTCGAGAGAAAAAGCAAGAATACAAGTTACATTGGTATCATGCTGCTGTTTTAATTTGTGCTTTGTGTCTTCACCCGCAGTGTTCACAATACAAATGCATCCTGCAATACAAAGCTGTAGGATGAAGTGGAACCCATACTAGAGCGTAAAGTGAAGATACAAACATAAAAGCTTTTCCAAAGAGTGGCTCCAGAGAAAAGGCTGCATGGTCATTAAAACCAAAGTTTAATGTTTCATTTAGTCATTTCATGTTTGTTACAGGAAAGCTAATGTAGTGCAATGAATTTTCCAGAAAGTAAATGTAAATCAACATTTTGTAAACCAAAACATTTACAAAAAAACGTGTTTATTAGACTCACTGAGTGATTGTGCCAGAGCGATGACGACATCCTGGCAGGAAGTGTTCAGTGATAGGCCACACACCACTCTGACCACGCCCTCCACCAGCACCTTCAGCTCCATCAGCGCCCTGCGAGGAGACAGACGGACGCGTTACGTCAGACATAATCAGTGAATGCAATATAAAACAATGTGTCATATCGATTCATTGAACGAGCAAGCTCGGTTATTTTATTGATAAACGGTCAATTTCATTTCTAGGAAATGTAAATCAGATGAAAAATGATCATTTAGTTGACTGCTACTCATGTGTACAGAAATACAAGAATAGAGGAAGAAGCTAGCGAACACTGAGTAACAAGTGGGGACGTTTTGACAAACGTAACCAGCTTCAGTCACACACTTAGAGCTGATTGTAGACTTCCTTTGGTGCTGAATGCTGTTTTTATGGTGAATTTTTTATTTAGCTATGTAACGATAAATTAGCCATGATAACTTTGTTTGTTTCCCAAGCTAATAACGAACTTGTCAGTTATACTTAACTCTTAAAGTGTAAGTAACTTCCGCGCTGTGTGTTTTGTTAGTTTGTGTTAAAGGAATTGAGCAGCTCGTGTTTCCTGCGGTCATGCTCAGCCGTCTGAGATGAAACGGTGAATTAGGCCACAGTGAGGAGGGATGTGGCTCAGGTTAAATGGACACTTGACCTCCGTTTACATGAGAATAGGAGGACGGTAGACGGCAAACCGGACGACGTTATGACTTTAGTGGACGAGAGCAGGAATCTGGTGAGAGCGGCAGAGAATACTGGCAACGTTACCGGAAGAAGCCGTTTCCATCCAAAGTAAGAAATACTTCAGCTTTCTTAAATAGGGACTATTTCTTCAGTATGAAATATTCCCATGAAAACTGCAGACAGTTAATTATTATGATTGTCTAGTTCCCTCCATATATAAAATATGTACATTTTGAAATGCCACAAATGAACTTTCATCCACCTTTAAAGCGTCTAAACCTGGAAAAAACAACACATCTGTCTGGATAGAAACCAACTAAAGTTAAATGAACTTTAAATATTCACGCACCTCCATGAAGCATGAAGTAAAAGAACACAATAATAACTCAAATGATTAATGTACATCACTTCAAATATGCGGTCTGTATTTCTGACAAAAACACTTCATTTGAACTAAAGTTTCTAAACATTGAAAGTTCAGTGATGATTTATTCATAAACCCTAATTTAAAAGAAAACCTGTTTTCATTGTTACTACCGTCTTCTATCCTGATATTTACTTAAATCATCAGAAAGTGCTGTGTCAGCAATAATGCCACTTCCTGTGAGACTTTTTGATGTTTACAAAGGTTTTGTAAAAACACAGATTACGTTCAGTGACACGGTGACATCACTGGTGATATTGTCTGAATAACCAAATGAAAAACATCAGCTGTAAATATTTTGGTCACACTTTCTATGACGCCCAGTTCTATAATGCACTCTAAACATACTTAAAAAGTATTATGGTACTTGACCTTATAAGTCATGATAAAATGCCTCATGTGTTATGATTATCATAATTAATATGTATGAGTGCTTATAAATATAATTACACAGCTATAAACAGATTATAATGCATTGTAAGTATGTTAATAACTCATTTAGACATTGTTTTGACATTTGATAGAGACAGAAAAAGGAAAGGTAACATTTCGTTCTGTGTGTTGATATTATGATTATTTGAGATTATTGCAAGCTGTAGAATAACAGACTCAGATTACATTAGACCAGCTGCTCACATGGAGCTCTGTAACCTTCCTCCTGAGTCATACAGCCTGAGAGTGAAGACAAGTGTCCGATATCTCTCTCAGGGTGTCAGTACAGACCAACCAACGCGTTCAGGAATTTACTGACTTATTGAATTGAAAGTGAGAACTGTGAGACAAACAACGGGCTGTTTGAAAGAAGCCGACGCACTCATGAGAAGCGTCCTCTTCCTGTTGGAGCATTTCTCTGATCCGTACAGACAAAGGTGAAGTAACGGAGGCTTTACTCCCTACACTCAACATGAGATCAGAGCTTGAGCCTTCATCAACCGTTCATACCAACACAGCAGTCTCTGTTACAACTCTGTGTGCAGTTTCGGTAAACAAAACTCTTTATGTGCGGAGTTAACTATTAACTAAGCACATAAGTTATTCAGTTTCAGTCGGGCTGAGACCTACAGGTTACTCTAACCAAGCACTGACTTCACTAATCACATGAGGTGTTAGTGGCTCATTAGCAGACTTCCCAGCATGCAGCACATATAAAACATTTAAAAAAAGAACAATAAAATGATGATGGAGCGCTGGAAATCTGGATGGCAACTGCAAAAAATCTGAAATTAGTTTGTGAGATTCCATAATGACTGCCCTCTGTTTGTGTGTTTGTTTATGCCATTGCATCGGCTTCATTCATGAGGCAGCCCCCCCCACACACACACACTTTTTGGCCGGGTAAAAAGTGGGAGGGCTTTAAATCTGAGCTACAGAGGACTGTAACACACCTCCACTGATAACAGTTTCTGTTGGATGTCATGATCGTATTAGTTTGAAATTGATCGGTACGAGCACACTTCATATTTTGTTTTACGGGGACTAAAGATGATTGATTTTTACATAGAAATATGAAAAAGTCGACTATTTTGAAATCGTTTGCATAAATTGTTAAATAGTTGTACACTGTGACCTAAAAGAGTCATTTCATCTCGAATATAAACTTAAAAACAATCTCCTCAACATCTTGAAAGCGGCTCAAAGTGTTTTTGTTTAGAGTGGGTTTATTTTCGTTGTGCAGTAAAGATGATAACTACATGATACATTTATTGTCGTGCTCTTAAGAAGGTGGAAGAAGATGTGATTTAATAAATCTGTGTATTTAACCTCATGCTGCTAAATTCTGCCTCTATGTGCAAACTGATATGAAGCAGTGCCTCAGAAGACTCTGAACGTATCTGCTTGAGACATTAGGAGGACCCTCGTGGTTTGACAGACGTGTGGAGGTTTGTGTCTGTGTGCAGGAGGAGACACACCGGTTGGCTGAGAGCAGGAATGTGGAAGAACACGCTGACATTCCTGGAGCACTGAGACTCCACCCACACATACCTCCTCTCTCTGTTTACAATCTCAGTATCATTATCACACAGTACTCAACAGAACGTCCTCCAAACATTGGAAACTACAGAAAGTTATATTCTTCATGTGGATAATGAATTTCTCTCATCTTTTGAAAACATTTATGAATTGAAAGTGGTCACAGTGCTCCTCAGCTTCCTGGTCATAAACCTTTCTCAAATGGAAAACATCAACCTGCTCAGATTCATTTTTACTCTTTAAGAGTTTCATTGTTGAGTGAATGAACCGTATTGTTCTCACTGCAGCTCAAATCAACCAAATCTCATTTGTCTTCAGTCCTTGACTTCTAGAATAAGACTATTATCACACTGCTTTCGTGTAAATGTTCATGTGCAACTTGTTTAGTTTGCTTGAGTTCATCTGCACCTTTACTGGTTTGTATCTGTCTTGTCTTTAGCTGACAGTAAAACCCTTTGAACCTAATTTAAAGCATTCTGACAGTGAAGTGAAGAAGCTGTGAGGCCTTTATGATTATGAGTTAAGACAAATGAAGGTAGAGATGAATATCTTTTCATGCTCGATTCAAACACTTAATATAAATATTTTAAACAAACTAGTCACAGAAATCAAGAATGAAACCTTTTCCTTTCTCTTCTTCAGGAGATTGTAATGAGCGGCGGTTGGACCAGGTTTCAGGGTCTCTAGAGCTCAGAGAGGAATTCAAACACTCACCTGTTTCAAGCTGCTCTCAGTTTCATTGATGCTCCTTTCTCACTGGTGTGTGTTCAGGCTGGAGGAGGAGGAGGAGGAGGAGGAGGAGGAGGAGGAGGAGGAGGAGGAGTGAAGCTGTGGAATGCAGCCTTTCTGGATGCGCTGCATGAGAAGTGATGTCACTCTGTTGTGGGAGGTAATTAACTTCATGGACAGTTTTGGTTTTCTTCCACTTTCACCTTTCAGAGGATTTTTATTTCCTTTTTCTCCTCCACAGTTATCTTTATGGCAGAATCTACATCTTACTTTTAGCATGAGATGAGATCATAACACATCTTTATTTTTTCCATCCATTCCTTCATGAAAATCCCCAAACTCCTCTGGTTGTATAGAAGTCTATGAGAAAATGACTCTACTTCT